TTTATGTCCATTTTCTAAATTAAATATGTGCAGCCCAACACAGTAACATTTACTTTACTTCACAGTGGACTCAAGCTTGGATTGACCCTGATGTGAACGCGCTCTAAAGCCCATTAAAATGCATGTTCTGGCCACTGACCAGTTCAGATTGTTGCTGTGAGTGGCTGACAATATTACAGAAAGGATCCTACCGAGAAACAAAATGTTTCCTGTACCTTTTGCTTGTTCCAGTCTGTTTTGTGTCTATGTCTTGCTGATGAGAAGTGAAATCTCACGAGAGGTGACTTGTTGCAGGACAAAAGCATCGGAGAGAGAGGAGGGCGACTGACAGTTTGTGGTGTTTGGGTGCAGTGTATCTTACTCTTATCTAAAAGATTTTAAATGTCATGGCTGAATATTTAGCTGAGATTTCAGAGCCAGACTTCCACATGGGGGAAACTTGGACACAAAACAATCTGAGCCTGCGAGTTATGAAAACTTTTAATTGACGTAAATTGACGATGCAAACATTGCTTGTGCTGGCTGCAGCGCTCCCCCTCAATACTGGACCAAGTTCAATAATTGTTGTTCCCACGGGTCACTAAGGGTGCTCTCACACCTGACCTGTTTGGTTAATTACATACTTAACTATGTTTTCTTACACATGCTGTGTTTTTTATGCTCTCAGATTCATTGTTTTCAATGCAGACGTGCCAGAGTGACACCAAAGCGGCTCGCACGTGTTCTTGAGCGCCTGTTCTTCAGAGCACAGCGACAGCGCTCTGAGATAAATTGAGTTCGACTTTTAGAACGCAGCACCACTCACCTCATGTCATGTGACGAGGAACAACCAATCACAGCCGACAGATATCTTTCCCTTCTTCCGTAAAAGTAGTCTGTGATAAATATGGAGCAGAGGTTGTTGATCATGTCAGTGCAGAGCTGTCAGAGCATCACATCTGTCCTACAGAAGATAGGCTTACACACAAACAGCGCCTGGAAGAAGATCAGCTCTGCACTTTCAGGTTAATAGGCTGTGATACGGTGTTTGCTGAGGTTGCTTAATTGTACAGTGAAAATCTCACAGTGTGGCAGCCCCAGTGCAGATGTTTGTCTGACCACTACATGCCAGTCATCAACCTAAAGATCAGGTCTTAACCCTAAAAGTTACCCTGTGGGGGGGTCAGCTGATTTAAGACATGAGTCCCCATAAAGTGACAGAGTCAGTACATTTTTTTTTGTCCCCATAACGTGAGTAATACAAACACACACACACACACACACACACACGCTCTCAGTGCTGACCTCATGCATGGTTGATTCATGGCTTATTCCCCTGAGTCCATTTGTACAAGGACAGGTCCACAGGGATGTTAACTCTGTGTGTGTGTGTGTGTGTGTGTGCGCGATCATGTATGACGCAAAGGGGGGTGGGCAGGCCATGGTTTTAACCCCATGCTGAAGCATCTAAGAGAGTTTCAATAATTCATATGTTCTGTATTTGCATTTTTCTCTCTCACACACACACACACACACACACACACACACACACGCTTCCCCGGAAAAAAATAGTAAATGCATCCTTTCAGATACAGGCACTCATCACTCAACCAAGCACACACACACACTCCAATGCACACAAGTACCCAAGCGGTGCAACACACTGCACAAGGACACACACATTATACATTCCCACACAGCGACATGGTTTTAAAGCGCACACACACACACAGATACACACCCACTTGACCTGTACTGTGAAGAAATGAATTCATCTGAAGACGACGAAACACTCGTGTTGACAAGCATCTCAGTCTCTTCCCTCGCTCGCCAGGTGCTCTTACAAAGCGTCTTCTGTCATTCTTCCTCTCCTTTCTATCAACTCTCCGCCCACCTCTCATCAGCTTCCTGTTTCTCAGGTGGTCTCTGTGTGAAGTTAAAGCAGCCTCCCCGTGTGTGTTTCTGCGCGTCGCCGTGAGACGCTGCTCGTCTAGCGTGCCAGACAGCCCGCATCGCATTTGTGACCTACTTTGGCTCCGACTGTGTATTTTTTATGAGACTGGGAGATGCAGGCGCTCACAGTGCAAACGGAGATGCATACATAGGGTCTGCACATACACAGGAACACATGCGTATACACAGATGTTTGTATAGGAAGCAACACCTATTCACACACACCTTTTATTTATTCATCTGCATACCTTATGTCACTGAGGATCCCTTTTGGCATAGAGACAGATGCCTGAAAGACTGCTCTCCACACACACAGACACACACAGAAACATAAAAACACACAAATGGCAGTAGTGCGAGATGTAATGATGTGCAAAACACACACACACACTTGCACAGATGTGTCAGTGTGAGTGTGTATTCAGGAACAGAGTGAGAGCACTTCTTTAGTATGCAGGCACAGCTGAAGTTTGCTGTTTCTCTTTCTGTTTTGGAGGGTTTGGGGTAAGAGGAAATGCTTAAGTATCATCACGCTTGAGTGACATTTCCATGGCCAAAAGCTTATTTAATTCAGCCCCCTAAGCTTTTTAAACAGAGTTCCCAATTAATTTTTAAATTACCGCGCTGGCTTGTTGACTAGCTTCTGACACTTGAGAAATTATGTTAATTTCCACACCTCTTACTGCGCCGCAGTCGGCTCGCTCCTGCTGCTCAGGATGTTGAATCAATGAAATGCCTTGTAGGCCTCGTGGCTATAGAGCCAAACACACACACACACATGCACACACATACATGCAAACACATGCATTTGCCAGCTCTGTGTCTTGGCAACACTTGACTACGTACACCCACTAATGCAAATGAGCACACACACCAGTGTTTGTTACTGTACTTGTGGGGACTTTTACTACAGCAGTGTAAAGCAAACCTAAACATACAGTATAATCAGAACGTTATCATTCCCAGGGCGTCAGATACCCACACTTTGTCACGCCGTGTGATGTAAATGCTAAAGGCACCCTTAAGCGTCTCTGTGAGGTGCACTGACAAATGTAAACCCATCAGCAGCAGTATTTGATACTCAGAGCAGCTGACGTGATAAAAATCAATCATTTATTTGTCATATGGAAATATACAAGGTACAGCTGCAGTGAAATGTCATCTCATCAGCTCCTTTAACTTTCTTGTGTTCTCCCTGTGTCATCGTGGGTTTCCTCCAGGTGCTCCAGCTTCCTCCCACAGTCCAAAGACATGCAGGTTAATTGGTGACTCTAAATTGTCTGTAGGTGTGAATGTGAGTGTGAATGGTTGTCTGTCTCTTCAGCCCCTTTTACACTGCCAGATTTTCCCCGAATGTTGGGCCGTTTTGCCGGCAAGCTGCGAGCGTTTAGACACACAGAGCCGGATTGGTGAGTTGATCCGAGGTGCCCAATTTTCCGCCTCGTAGGGTAGACATATTGGTGGAACCTTTTTGGTTTAAACAGACCAAGGCGGCCTTTTGCAACAGGAGGGGCTGTTGATGACTTGTGGGAGGAGCTGTTGATGACTTGTGGGAGGAGCTGTTGATGACGCCGCACGTGCGAGCCACTGGCGGTGGATAAACAGGAAACAGCTGATAGCAGGAATTAGCGAGCAGCTAGTAGCAAGAGGGAAACACAAACCTGACAGACACTGTAAAGATGAGCAACTGGGGAGACAAGGAATTGTGCGCCCTCCTTGTCCTCGCAAACGAAGAGGCCATTAACCGTCAGATGACGGGGACGGTGAAGAACGGGCCGACTTACGAGAGAATCGCCGAAGGACTGACCAGCCGCGGCTTCCCTCCCACGTCACTGTTTACGTCACACGCTGAGCTACACGTTTTGTTACTTGCTCACGCCCCCCATTGCCCTGAAAAAGGCACATTCTGTATAAACAAAAGTAGGTAGGCGGCATTTTGCTGCACTCCCCGATTTTGTTTTTATACTGCCAATGCTGAAAAAACACTGATTGGGCTTTCCTGCAAATTTGCACAACTCCTGTCTAAAAGGGCTTATGTGTCAGCCCTGTGATAGTCTGATGACCTGTCCAGGGTGAACCCTGCCTCTCGCCCAATGTCAGCTGGGATAGGCTCCACCCCCCTGCAACCCCCAACAATATAAGCAGTTTATGGAAAATGAATGAATGAATGAACTGTAATTTAGTTCTCTTTTCCTACATTGTTGGCTGCTGCTTTATAATTGACCCTTTGCTAAGTCGCTCCCCACGAACACATACTGACCAGTCAGCCCCACAACAACACAGCTGTGCTCTTTAGACTCTGATGCAGTTGTTTCAGATTTCCTTCATTTTCAGGCTGGTTTTGTGGATTTGGAGTTAAATGTTGTGCCTGGGGCACTTTGTGTATTAATGATACTCTTTACCTGGAGAGGTTGGATTTATATATACGTTTCTTCCCTGTTCCAAAACCAAAATCAAACCCTGAAAAGTGTAGGGTTAGCTAGCCAGCTACTGAGGGTTTAATGTTAGCCTGCTGACTGTAAACACAAGCTACTTTTGCTTTTAAAGACTTTAACACTGAATCAAGAACTACCACACTGCAGAGGAACCCTGTGTTTGGCTTCCCTCAGAGCTCCTCGTGGCTGCCCGTTTGCCAGTGGAGGTCCAGTGGCTGAAGGCACAGGGGGAAGTTAAACAATGTTCATCTGCACACACTACCATGACGCACAGCTGGTTGAATATTGGCGTTTCCCCTTTTATCTGTTGTCCTCTGTTTCGATCATCAGCAATGTGGTGGTTCACTTTTACACTATCACCTGTAGCCTTAAGTTTAGCTTCTAACTATCTTTGTCTTTTTAACCTGTTGTTGCAAGATTTGTCCTGTTTGTCTTTTTCTACTGAGTCATTAATACTTACTGCACACATATGAGCTTAAATGTGTTGCTTCACCACAACAAACTCCTAAAAAAATCACGGACACATTCATCATGTAAACTTGAGCATAACTGTAGAGACGACGGTGGATGGATTGTTGTAACACAGTGACCTATAAAATCTTCCCTCTCTCCTCCTCCTCCTCCTCTCCACAGAGTTGAAACAGGAGCAGAGATAAAATCCACCCCTGACACCGACTCCCAGGACCGTCCCACCGTCCACCCCCGAACCCAACCTCCCCTCACCCCTCTCACAGCTCCAGGGCTCTCCAAGGGTTCCTCGCCGGGTTCTCCAAAGGGTTCTCTGTGGTGTTCTGGAAAGCTCCATACGCCTCGGGGCCTCGGACCTTCATGCGTCTCCCAGCAGCAGAGTCCACCCACACCTCCACCCACCACACCACCACCACCACCATGAGCTGTGAACAGGAGTTTGGAGACGGGGCCATGGGAGTCACGCTCACACTGCGCCTCCTCATGCACGGAAAGGTGAGAGGAGTGAATGACATCAGGCTGGAAATATTCTGTACTTTTCTTAAAGCCAACAGATCTAAACCAGCAGGAAATGTATCTGCTACAGTGCTCTGTGTGTGTGTGTGTGTGTGTGTGTGTGTGTGTGTGTGTATCAACCGTCCTGATGTATCTTCTTCCTCTTTGCTGTCGAGCTCTGTTGTTATTAAAAGGACAATATGCCCCTTTCAGCTTGTTAGTATTGGATCGTCTCTGGTTGACCTGTTACGTCACAGACCAAACAATCGATAAACAAGTCAGCTACAGTCAGCAAACTTTTCAAACTCACCAGCAAACATTGATATACACTAATAATAAGTTTTCTTAAAATCATGTTACAAATTCTTTGGTAACTTCTTTTCTTCTATTTTACATGAATATTTTTTCATTTTAATTAATTAATTAATTAATTAATATTACTGGCTGAATATTGACCTCTACACTTCGAGTATTAACTCCTCTTAATTACATTTTCAGTGCTGTTTGTGAATATGAATGAAACTTAATGTGACACTGGAGGTTATATTTATGTAAAATAAATGAACCACACATTTATAATGAAAATGAGTGTGTTAAATGAGACCAATTTAGTGGAATTTTTAAGTAACTTACTTAATTTACTAATATTGGCAGGTCAGCATTAAGGTATCAAAAAAGGTTTTGTTATTTGAACAGATATAGATTGATGACCCCTCAGTCAGCCCCGAGTTGAGCTAAACCGTCCTCTTGCTGCCAACGTCGCGTGAAACTCATTCATTCTTTTTCTGTAACCGCTTATCCTGTTAGGAGTCGTGGGGGGGTGGAGCCTATCCCAGCTGACACTGGGTGAGAGGCAGGGTTCACCCTGGACAGGTCACCAGACTATCACAGGACTGACACATAGAGACAGACAACCATTCACACTCACATTCACACCTACGGACAATTTAGAGTCACCAATTAACCTGCATGTCTTTGGACTGTGGGAGGAAGCTGAATAACCTGGAGGAAACCCACGCTGACATGGGGAGAACATGTCAGAGCACCTGGAGGAAACCCACGCTGACACAGGGAGAACATGTCGGAGCACTTGGAGGAAACCCACGCTGACACAGGGAGAACATGTCGGAGCACTTGGAGGAAACCCACGCTGACACGGGGAGAACATGTCAGAGCACCTGGAGGAAACCCACGCTGACACGGGGAGAACATACAAACTCTGCACAGAAGGGCTCCCCCACCCCGGGGTTCAAACCAGGAACCCTCTTGCATGAAGCTGAGAACGAATATCAACATTGATAATATTGATTAAATATTGAACCTCAAACCAACTTCACCACAGTGTGGCGGCCACCACTAGCTTGACCACAGGGCTAACACGCTGCTGCATGTCTGTCTGTGCACTGTCAGCGTCTTCTATTTGTCTGTAACATCATCAGCTATAAATGTGTTTTTCACTGCGTGAGAAAATGGATGTGTGGCGTGCAAAGACTGTGGCGTAGGAGCGTGAGAAAAGTGTCAGTTGCAAAGTTAGATGGTTGATGTGTTAGTTGGCAGCGTTATCAAATTATGCACCAGTGTGTAGAGCTGGGAATAAATTAAATTCAGTTCAGTTTTATTTATAAAGCCAAATATCACAAATCACAATTTACCTCAGAGGGCTTTACAGCTCTGTCCTTGGACCCTCACAAATACTCACCTCAGCACCAACTGTTGATTACTCCGCCGCTGAAAATAGTCCCAACAAATGCACTATTTCTTCCTGTTTGTTTGATAAAAACTGCAGTGAGCAGCTGTTTGAGGAAATTACTGAGCTTCCTCCTGAAATATCTGACATGTTTCTAGAGATTAAGCTCAAGGCTGAGAGCTGCAGACATTTCGTCATTTTGGGGGATTTGTTGACAGTATGAAAAACACTCGATAAGACCAGCCTCATCTTCTAACTCTAAGTGTCCACTGAGGTTTGTTTTTGCAAATTCTGAATTCATTCAAATGTAACATATCTCAGAATTTTTTAGTTTTGGTATTTTCTAGTTTGTCTTTCTGATGTTCGGTTTTGGTCTGTCAGTGTCCCACTGCTGCTTCACCAGTCAAAGCTGAGTCTCCACGTCGTGCTTTTGTCCTAAAAATGACAGAAAGACATAAAAACTGTGTGTGTCTGTGTGTCCTCTGAGGACCACAATAGTAACATTTTCTGTTTGTGTTTTCTCCACAGGAAGTAGGAAGCATTATCGGCAAGGTGAGCTGAAGTTTATATTATTTTTTCCTTCTATACTGAACAGAGCGAAACACATACTCTCTTTCCATCTCAAATGTTTTGGTTCACTGCACTCAGACGACAAAAGTGTGAATATCAGGCAATTAAAATGACCGGAAGGATTTCTCTGATGAACATTATGTCTTTTACAGTGGAACAAATTAAAGCACATTGCAAATTATCTCGTCTATGTAAAAGTCATTCAGTGTAATTTTTGAGCATCATCAGAAAACATGCAGTAATTTCATATTATCATCGACACGAGAAAAAACCCTCTCCATCTATGAAATATGGATTTAAAAATCCTCCCCATCTCCAGTCTATGGTTTTCTAAAATTAGCATGCCGCTCAAGATAACGTTCAATGTAATCCTGCTACAACGAAATAAAGTTGCCATGAAATATGTATTAATAGTGTGTAAAATTTCCAGTCAGGCCATGTCATTCCAATCTGTACTTAGTGAAAAGGAGCTGCTCTCCAGGGATACGAGTCAATTTCACTGTGGACGTGTTAAATAAACCCCTGTAGGATTTTTTCCAAATATATCACAGCCAAGTGAAGTGTGATAATGACCATTGCCCTCGCAGCACATTCACTAACCCATGATTGAGTCTGATTTCCCTCAGCATATATTTAGATTTCCCCCTCCTCATCACTTACAGTGTGTGGTCTATTAGCTCGCAGTCTCTGACATTAAGACGGCATGAAAATTACATCACCGCGTTACAGTTCTAGTCGGGTCGTGTCATTCTGTCGTTGCGCCACAGGAGCTGCTCTCCAGGGTTTCTTCTCATATTAAACAAGGCTGCCAGGCGGCGGAGCAGAGCTGATGCTCACTAAAGCCGCCCTATCTGCCGTAAACAGGCTCATGTGATCGGGACAGGTGTCAAACTGAGATAAGGTTAGACCGCTCAGTCCAAGTTAAATATGACAAACAAACATCATTACTTTTATAATATTGATCTATCACTGATTCACACCTTTCCTGAGCACATTTCTTCTTGTTTAGTAAACTGTTGTGTCACAGTCACATCATTAGACTCAAATACCTGAACCTCCAGCGGTGCCGCTGCTTGGGGGCATCCCGGTGGCTGTTGAGGAGCAGCCGGAAAGAATCTCTGATTCATTTTCATACCTGGATTTATTTCTCTAGTTGCTCCTACACTTTTTCAGCTCTAACCTGCTGCTATTACAATAGCAGTTGGTTGCTTCCCAGGGAAAATGTATTTAAATACACTTTTGACCACCTCGTTACCAAGATCATCCGGCCCTGTTTTCTTTACCTACAACGCAGACTCCAAAAAAAAAAAATAGGAATCCAGGTTGTGTAAAACATTAATGAGAATAGAATGCAGTGATTTGCAAATCTTTTTTTTTAACTTATATTCACTTGAATACAGCACAAAGCACGAGACATTTAGTATTCAAACTGATAAACTTTGTGTTTTTTTATAAAAGATTTGCTCATTCTGAATTTGATGCTGCAACATGTTCTAAAAAGAGTTGGGACAGGAGCAGAAAGGCCGGGGAAGTTATAGAACGCTCAAAAAATCCCTGTTTGGATCATTCAGCAGGTGAACAGGTTTATTGGTAACAGATTAAAGTATGATGATAACAAAGTTATGCAATAAACAGTTGCAGGATTTTAGGGATTTTGCATCTACAATCAATAATATCATCGAAAGATTCAGAGAATCTGCAGAAATCTCTGCACATAAGAGGCAAGACTGAAAACCAACATTGAATGGTTGTGACCTTTGACCCCCTCAGACACCACTGCAGTAAAAACCAACACAACTGTTTAAAGGATGTTATGACATGGGCTCAGGAACGCTTTGGAAAGCCACTGTCAGTAAACACATCGCTGCATCTACAGATGACAGTTCAGACTCTACCATGCTCCGCCCACTTCTCTGAGCCCGAGCTCACCTGAGATGGACTGACACAAAGTGGTCTGACCAGTCCATCATGGACGTCGTGTCCTCCGGGCCAAAGGGGAAAAGGACCATCCAGATGCTAGTGCCCATGGCATCATGGGTAACTTTGCATCTGTGAAGGCTCCATGAATGCTGAAAGGTACATACAGGTTTGGGAGCAACATATGCTGCCATCCAAACAACGTCTTTCTCAGGGATGTCCCATCTTATTCCAGCGAGACACTGAGACACATGTCAAACATTATGAAGCATATAATATAAAAAAATATAATTTCCCAAACACTTACTGAGTGTTGCTAAAAGAAAAGATGATGTCACACAGTGGTAAACACTCCTCTCCCGACTTTATTGGCACTTGTTTCAGCATCAAATTCAAAATGACTGTATATTTACAAAAATGGTGCAGTTTATCAGTTTGAACATTTAATATCTTGTCTTTGGACTGTATTCAATTGAATATAGGTCAAAAACAATTTACAAATCGTTGCATTCTTAGCCCCTGCGCTTGCCTGAGAAGGGTAGGCACCATGTCTGAGAGGTTTCTTTTGGTTCCAGAGGTATCATACCTAATGTGTTTGGTGGAAACGGAGCTTTAAAGTACAGTTTGGTGACAAAACTTTAATGCTTGCATCATCTTTCAAATTCTTTTACTTGCAGCCACTATTGTACAACTGTACTCTCTACTTTAGTGACTCTAATAAAACTGTTAACGTTTAAGTGAGTGTAATTCTGCAGGGAAAAAAACTCAGCTTTGTGTTTCTTGTCTTCCCACAGAAAGGAGAAACAGTGAAGAGAATACGAGAAGAGGTAAGACCCCGCCACCCGTCCCCATCATGCACATTCTTTCATCTCTGTCGCCTTCTCCTATTTTTTATTAATCCATGACAACCCTTCAAATGCAGCTCACATGCATCCTGATAATTACAGCGTAATCACAAAGCAGTGCAACACTGCAAATCCATACTGAAACTGAGAAACACGAAGCTGGAGCACCACAGTAATTGAGCTGTACATTTAAGGCTGCTTTCATCAGATCTAAACCGCAGAAAATAAATGTCAGAGGAGTCGAAACATGTCCCTCTGCATGTACATTCCTGTCATGTCATTCCTATTTTTAGAATACAAGTAAATATCTGAAGGTGTGTTTTGTATTTTTGGCCGCCTGCTGCGATGGTAGCCACGTTGACGGCTACATCTTTAGCTGTCTGTGCTGTCAGCAGCCTGCAAAATGGTAGCACGACTCAGAGCTGTGAGTGTGGAGCTTCCCTATGGAGTATCTGTCCTCTCTGCGTTCCCTTCTTTTCAAGGAAACAGAGATGCAAATACAGCGAGAGTGAAAGAGTGAGACTGAGGTAGAGAGCCAGAAGGACGTTAAGAGAGACAACAAGAGAAGCAGAAGGAGAGTGCAGGAAAAACAGAAACTGGGCTTTTAAATAACAGAATTACTCACAATGCGGGAAGAAACGTGAATTTGTTTTTGTTCCAATCAGCGTTCATCTCGTCAAAGAAAACAAAGAATATTTGTCGACAACCTTTTTCTATTAAAATGAGACCTACAGTTGCAATCAAATTTATTCAACCCCCATTGCATATTAGGCTTATTGGCAAAATATACAATTTCTCAGCTGTTTGCAATAAACAGATTACACAAGAACTGTTTAAGTAATTCAATGAAACTAATATTACAAGCGTTTTGATCCAAATTCAACACAAAATGCTACTTTTAATGACTACTGCAGTCTCAAAATTATTCATCCCCTTCATGACAAGCATCTTCAGTACTTAGTAGAGCACCCTTTTGCTGTTATGACCTGCTGCAAACGTGATGCATAGCCAGACATCAGCTTCAGACAGCGTTCCTGAGGAATCTTAGCCCATTCCTCATGGGCAATGGCCTCCAGTTCAGTAATATTCTTGGGTGTGCGTTTTGCAACCGCCTTCTTCAAATCCCACCAGAGATTTTCTATGGGGTTCAAGTCAGGCGACTGTGACGGCCACTCTAGAATCTTCCATTTCTTCTTCTGAAACCAAGCCTTGGTGGACTTTGAGGTATGCTTGGGATCATTATCCTGTTGGAAGGTCCAATGACGCCCAAGCTTCAGCTTCCTCACAGACGGCACGACGTTTTTACCTAAGATTTCCTGATACTTGACTGAATCCATCGTGCCCTCCACACGCTGCAGGTTTCCAGTGCCAGAGGCAGCAAAGCAGCCCCAGAGCATCACTGAGCCACCGCCATGCTTCACTGTAGGCAGGGTGTTCTTTTCAGCATATGCTTCATTCTTCTTCCTCCAGACATACCGCTGTTCCATAGGCCCGAAAAGTTCCAGTTTTGTTTCATCACTCCACAGAACAGAATTCCAAAACTTCTGTGGCTTATTTATATGGTTTTGAGCATAATGGAGCCGACTTTTCTTGTGCTTTTGGGTCAGTAGTGGTGTACGTCTTGGAGTCCGGGCATGGAGCCCTTCGGTGTTTAGTATGTGCCTTATTGTGCAAACTGAAACCTCAGTGCCTGCTGCCACCAAGTCTTGCTGCAGGTGTTTTGCAGTCACTCGAGGGTTTTTGACCACTTGCCTCCTCAGGAATCTGATGGCAGCCGCTGATAGTTTCCTCTTTCTGCCACGTCCAGGTAGTGTAGCCACTGTTCCTTTAACTTTGAACTTGCGAACTATGCTTCCAACTGTATCTCTAGGAACATTCAGAGCTTTTGCTATCGTTTTGTATCCTTTTCCTTGTTTGTGCAAGGCAATGATTTCTTCTCTGAACTTTTTGGACAATTCTTTTGACTTAGCCATATTTCTAACATGCAATCAAACGTCACTCTCAACAAAACCCTAGCCAGTCCAGGTATTTATGTGTTCTGTCTCAAGCACACCTGAATTAATGAAGCCCTTGATTAGTTGCACCAGGTGTGCTTGAAACAGGGGGTTGAATAATTGTGATTAGTTGCATCAGGTGTGCTTGAGACAGGGGGTTGAATAATTTTGAGACTGCAGTAGTGATTAAAAGTAGCATTTTGTGTTGAATTTGGATAAAAACCATGGTAATATTAGTTTTATTAAACTATTTCAACTGTTCTTGTCTACTTTGTTTATTGCAAACAGCTGAAAAATTGTACATTTTGCCATTAAGCCTAATATGCAATGGGGGTTGAATAATTTTGATTGCAACTGTATGTCACAAAGTATTACAACATAAACAATAAGTGAGAAAAGAAAAAAATGAAGGGGAGTCTGATTGAACAATGTGTGTGCATCTGTGGAACCACATGCTGTATTCTCCGATGCCCGAAAACATCTCTTTGTCGAGCACGGCCTCACTCCCAGGTCGTCAAAATCCAACGCTTTGGTAGTGACTTTCAGTGTCAGAAACCAACAACAAAAGGCGTCCTTTAATGTCGGCATGATACGCGGCTGGTTGTTGTTATAGTTTAACAGTGTCGGGGAAACTCGGCAGGACAAGAACAAAAGTTAAGCCTGCGAAAGTCCGAGTGGGGCGGGCGGGAGGGGTGGTGGATGGGTCCAACAGACACTGACCTTCACACGAGAGAGTGGTGTTCATGTCCCTAAAGATTCTAAAGACAAACCCTGTTCTTTTTTTCTTAAACCCAACCATGTGTGTTTGTTGTTAAAGGGAAAAAATGTCAATGTGCAGTGTTGTTCCCACATAGTACGTTTATTTTGAAAGAGACTGTATGTAAACGTTGAATTTCCTGTGAAAACGGAAGTAGCACCTTTGGAACCAGCAGTAAGCCTTCAGACATGGTACCTAGACCCTCGGTCTGTTCAGACAGTCCTCTTAAATGTGGGCGGGGTTGTTGTCACTCACTGCTCCGTCCAGCACTCGCTGTATTTCCTCATCAGCGGTGACACAGATGGAAGTCTGCACCTGGTTTATCGTCCACAGAACGAGGCTGCACGCCCACATTTTCACAACAAAATAGAACAGGCTGCAGTGAGAGTCTCTCTCCATGGGATATTTAAAAATAGCAGCTTTGTGCATTTAGTCCTTCTCAGGCAAGCTCAGGGGTTTAGTGTTGCTGTAGCCCACAGGAAGTGAGGATTAGAATATATGACCTTCACATAATCCGCTCCAAATTAATCTATATTTTTAAAGTCATTACTAAAAGTGTGTGTCATATAAAAACTAAAGTGATGGTCAAAGTTGTCACAGTGAAATTTAAGGTGTGCTGATGGATTCACGTCATCAACTCATGCATTGAGTAGCATTACAAGTTAACGTTCCACCTTAAAAGTTGCCGGCAGTCGGCCCAGTGAATGAAGTTATTTTTTTCTCTTTCATTTTATAGTTGTAGTTTACTGATGTATGAACAGAGGTTACATAAAACCAGAGTGAGCGTCCTCTACTGACCAATCAGACTGCAGGGTTTCTAGCTCCACCTTTTAGTACCAGATCTGTGTGCTAGGTACCCCAACAGAGGGGGGACCAAACATGGGGACGCTAAGGAACGCTTCTGTTGGTACCATCCACAACTTTACACTGTGGAAACAAAACAAATGTGTACCAAACTGAACTGTACCGCACTGCTTGGTGGAAATGGGACTTAAATGTTTGCTGAAGAAATGTCTCTAATATAAGACATTTGCTTCTCCTCTCACATCCTCAAAACCGACACTAAAGAGCTTGTGAATGATCGGCTGCTCTGCAGTAAAGAGAACATACTGTGTTAGTAGCATTGCTGAGAGCAGGAACAACCGAGGGTGAGCAGCTCTCTCCTAAATCAGCACTGGTAAGATTAACTGCATTTATGTAGTTGTGTTATCCAGAGCAGCACCGTGCAAGGTCAGGGTTCTTCTACATGTGAATGAACCTTCAACCCTGCAATCAGTGGGTCAGATATAAGTCAGTCAGATGACCTGTGTGTGACTCAAAGTAATATACATTTTGATGAAGGTGATAAAATGAACGCTGGTTCATCCTTCACTAGCTTCTCATGTTCGCCAGAGTCATTCCTCTTTGACTCCTGGCAAAACGTTACATTTGCAATCAGGTCGCTCGCTGCAGCTATATGAATACTTAAACATATGGATCTATAACTTCAAATGTTCTGCGTTCATCTCTGTGAATGCAGACCATGGGCACATCAGTGGCTCGTTAATATATGCGACACCTGACATGAATACCAGAGAGAGTTCTCCATACGTTTAAAGAGCACAGAGATGAAGGCTTTCCCAGAGGAGAGTAACTGTAAAGCCTCCGTTATCCCCGTCCAAACATGCAGACAAAGAAAGGATGTCAGAGAGTAATAGAGAAGTGAATCTGTGTGTGTGTGTGTGAGTAAGGATGTGTGTTTGTGTGCATTTACTGGAAAATGGCTGCTTCATATTACACTGGAGAAACACGGATGAGGTGTTATGTCATCAAATCCGTATTGTTGTGTTGCAAAAGCACTCCTGAGTCCCTGCAACAGCAGCCAGGCAAAATAAAAGCCTGTGTGTCGGTGCAGCAGCAGCAGCACAAAGCAGAGAGAAATTTGTGAGAAAAGATTAAATCCAGGTTTTCTTTAACTGTGGAGTGGGGCTCAAAATAGGTCACACAACTCCTTCCGGTGTGTTTCAGCAAGAAAACAATACTCCACTGTGTTTTAATGAGCCTAAATTTACTCTATTTAGTTCCCCACTCGCCTGGAAAAAACGTTAAATAATAACCCACAAATACATTCTGCAGGGAGAAATGATTTTAGAAATGTGTGTCCTCAGAGAAATAGTTTGAAGATGACTGCACATGAATCAACACTCCAGAGAGAGGAGGGAGGGAGAGTGAGCGCGGGGAAGCAGAGAGTT